CAAAACCCCAAAACCCCAAAACCCCAAAACCCCAAAACCCCAAAACCCCACTAGAGACGATTAATTTCTAAATAAAATAAACATAAATATAAAAATTATTTTCATAAGTCATTCAATTTACTCTAAAAAATGTATTTGCTTTAACAATCTCATTTATCTAATTGGGTATTTCTTAAGAACCTCATTATTTCTGGGATTTAAGAGACATTAGAAGTTAAGCTATCCTTACTCTTATTTTCTATGATCTATCGTTCACTTATTCCTAGCTTCTTATCCTTCATCCATTTTGATGCAGTACTTCTGACTTATTCACTAGTAGCAAAACCACAAAAGCTATAATCAGGTGCCCAGTAGAAGACCTTATAATTTTTATCATCCATGAGCTTATTTTCCAGCTTTTAAGTTAATTTATCATACTCTGCCTTTAGTCCTTCCTTTGTATAGGGCTTTCTTATCTTGAATAACGATGAGTCCTTTGTTAAAGATGTTTATTTTTCATTTGATCTATCTCTAACTGTTATAGATTAATTTTTACTGAGGCTTTAATGTTCTTCAGAGTTATTAACATTTCTGTTTGTTTTATTCTGGTTTTGATAAGCCCAGATCTATGTTCTATTCTTTGAATTATTCATTCTTTATGTATTACTACTATATTCTTTAAACTTCTGAGTGCTCTATCTATTGGAATCATTTGTATTTGTTATTTTAGTATCTAAACTAGCTTTTATATTAGTTACTCTACTCCTACTGAGATTTTAAATATCATCTTATGTAATGTTTTAAGTCAAATCTTTATTAACTTCTTCTTAACCTGAAATAATTCCAACTTATCCACGCCTTGGTGATCTACTTCTGGATTTTTCTTCAACTAATACCTTTTAGATGCGCTTGATCTTTTACTCCTCCTATCGCATGTACAAAATGTCTGACTTATTAAGATATGGAAGTATATTCTTAGCTCCAAGATGCTCATGAAAATCATCATTTTAAGGAATATTTTATTTTTATTATTATTGTTCAAAGAAGGTTTTATCAGTTTGTTCAGTTATTTATTGTAAACTTACATGGAGTTAACTAGGCTAGTTGTTATTTATCCATAATTTGCTTTACTTTATTCTTTTCTTGCTATTATGCCTAATTTCAGGCAAGGTATTAATGTTTATTCTCTTGAACCTGCTATCAACATACTTTGGGGATGAATTTTCTGTAGTTATTACTTTTATAATGTTTGAAATCGACTTGTTTGCTGTTTTATGCTTGAGGTCAGTTCTTGATTACTAATTAATGACAACTGAACTTCTTTCATTTTCATTTAGGTTCTCTTCTGTCGTCTCATAATTATATTGATCTTGGCTTTACTCATCAAAGTAGACAATATTATTAGTATTGAATTCATTTGGATGTCTTTAGCCATCTCTCATGTTCGAAACTGCTTTTCTAATAGTATTCTTTTGATAGTTGTTAAACCCAACTTTCCTCATTTTAAGATTGCTGACTGCCTATGATTGCCGCTTGATTAACCGATTAACTATGTTACTTTACAATGTTCCATTCAAATCAAAGTTGTCATTTGATACTTGATAGAGCAATTTAGACATTTATTTAGCTCTTTAATTTTAATAAAAACAAATATATAATTTAATTAGAGGAATTTCCAAGTCTCAGAAGTTATGAAGCATTTTAAATTAGCTAAAATAGTAAATTTAAAAAGAATTCAAAATCATGGATTACCAAACAGAGGAATTTAAAGGGCAAAGTCCCTATGTAGGCTAACACTAAGTTGCATTTGAATCTGAGATCTAGCCAGTTGCCATAGATAAGAATGGAAATGCCCTTTACTATCCAGAAATTTAAAACAAAAATTTGACTGAGATATACAACTACAATTCATTAAACTAAACTCCAATTGTACAAGCTCCTTCTCAAACAGTATTTCCAGAGTAGCTCAAAGATATGCTTACTCATGATCCATACAATGCATACTGTGTTGATTGTAAGGTTAACCTATCAGATCATGCAAGTATTACCTTTGGTATATTCCTTTGCTACGAATGTGCCAATAAGCATAGATCAATTCTTGGGCAAGATCAGTCCTTCATTAAAAGTTTATATAATGAAAGCTGGGATGATTATTCTATGAAATTTATGTTGTTAGGAGGAAACAAAAAATTCTATGATTTTATTTCATAATATGACACCTAAAATAGAGAAATCAAAATAAAATATTTGCATAGATCAGCTCAATACCATTAGAAAATGCTAAGAGCTTAGGTTGATGAGAAAGCATTTGATTACAATCCACCTCCCATTGAAGAATGGAAAGCAGTGTCTTCTAAAGCATTAGCAGAAGTTGAACTTGGCATGGTGAAGAGTGCTGATTGGATGAAAGAAAAATGGCAAAAAGCTGATTTAGGCAATAAAATCAAAGGACTTTTTAAAAAATGAGTACTTTAGTTGAATAAGAATTTATAAGACAAATCCATTCTTAACTTCAATTTAACCTATTAATATTTTTAGTCTCACATTTAAATATCAATCCTTAAGTAATTTGAATCATTATTTATATTTTAAACATCATTACAAAACATTCATTCTAATATCAAAAGGAGTCAAACATCTATTAGGGTTGACGAATTGAAAAAGCTCTTGATAGTTAACAAACTTCCCCTCTTCTGTTCTCTAATCTTCTCTCATGCCCATTAACTTGAATACTGACGAGTCTTAAATCTCATCAATACTATAAGTTTAAGCTCCTAATTTCTGCAAATAGTTAATAGCATCATTATTTTAATCATCAGGAGTTCTTTATTTTTCAATTTTAAGTCTCAACACTATCGCTAAGTAGATAAATATTCTGAGTGTATCTATAACCTTTTCCAATGGTACTTCATCGTTTATTTCTGGATTGATTAGTTGCCAGAACTCATCCATTCTAGACTGTCTGTCATGATGCTAGCAAGATAAAAACCCTAGACATAGCAAAATTTCTATATTATAAGAACCCTGCTGGAATATTTCATGATTCTTGACCATCATATAGGCGAATGTGTGCTTATCAGCATTCTCCTCACTCAATTTCTCATAATCCAAGCCTAATTTAGGACTAATTTCTTTCATCATATGCTCTTATAATGGTGTTCCCTTATATGAGTATCTCTTGATGAGATATACAAAATTTTCATATTATGTCTTATTAAGTCCAAGAGACCTCTCTTAAGCCATAAAGTAAGTCTCTAGTTCTGGAAGAATATTATCCTGAGCTGGTTTGTCTTTTTTAGCAAAATTCAACGCGCCTAAGTTGTCATTTTTCTTTCCACCTCTTCCAGAAGAAACCTTGCAAAGTGTCGCTATTGCTTTCATTTTAATTCAAATTAAATTAAATTTATAAATGTTGATTTAGTTAGAAATTATTATTGGGAAATTAGATATACATATAATACTTAAGGGGTTTTGGGGTTTTGGGGAGATCGGAAGAGCGT